CCCACCTTGTTGCTGAGTGGGAGATATTTACTTCTTTTGGTGTTTCCATAATACCATAGTGATGGATGACATAAAATACTGTATAGAGGTATTCCACAGACTCTGTAGGAACAGCCAACAGAAGGTGAAGACAAAAGACGACAAATACTAAATATTAATTTAGCATGACAGGGAGAGTATATTATTCAGAGGAATTTACTAAGAGTTTGTAAATCCTTTTATCTTTAGGGCAGGAGTTTAAATAGAATCCAATCTGACGTCTACAGAACCATACTATTCAGTAGTACACCTGAAGTCAGATAATAGACTCTCTATCCCAGCAGTTCCCAACTGCTGGTCTGTGGATTGGTACCAGTCTCTGAACTGCTGGCTGCTGGACCACAGTGGCTGCCACAGCTGAAGCCAGCGGTTCACGGCGGCTTGGCTCCGACAGCCATGGTGGCTGATTTTTGCATTGGGACTGAGGCAGCAGCAGGAGATGGAGAAGCAGAAAGTACCTCCCTCCCTGCTCAGTAATGATCAAGGCTCCGTGTTCGTCCCCTGCCTTTGGGAGTGCAAAACATGCTTGGGGAAGGAGAGGGCACAAAGGAGGAAGGAGCATGGGCGCCGCTACCCCTGCCCAGACAGCAGTAATGGCAGGTGTTGGCATGGGCTAGTAGGGGTCAGAGGTTAAAGGGTCAAAAGTTGCATGGAGCGTAGTGGTGGTGGTCAAAGGGTGCTAGGCACTGGGAAGGAAGGGTCAGGGTAGGGGCTAGAAGGACAGGAAACAATATTTGCATGTTCATTATTTGTATAATGAATATGCAAGTATGCAAATCAAACGTTACCAGTCAGCCAAACGTTTCTGAATGGATTTGTTGGTCCGCGGCATAAAAAAGTTGGGGACCACTGCTCTATCAGATGGCAGGTCAGTGGCTTATGTGAAGTGTGTTAGTCATTTCACTTTGCTTCCTGATAAATAAAAGTATCCATATCACAAAAAATATTGTCATTGTTATCAATGTAGATACATGTCTGTATTAATCATTTTCATGACTGTGGATCATCTTCATATAATCTCTGCATTAAGTTTTTAACTTGGTATCAAGTCCTTTTATGTCTCTTTGTATTAAGCCCTTTTTATATAGAAACTGTGTGTCTTTTCATATAGAAACAGAAACTTTGTACTAAGTTTTGGTAGAAAAGTCCCTAAAAATACGTAAGGTAAAGAGAATGTTTTTGTACCAGAACAGATCTCTCCCCTTTTACTTAAAAGATTTCCCTGTTGAATAAGGTGTGAATGGATAAGGTGGGAAAGCACTTCCAGAGAGTTGCAACAGCTAGAGAGGGGATGGAAGCCAGATCCAAGGACAATAAGATCTGTTAAATGGACTCACTGAAAGAAGACTGGACATATGGCTGCTTTGGGAGTCAGCAGCAGGTGCCATCTTTTGGAAGTACCTTCTTTGAAGAATGTGGCAACATTAAGACAACACCCGGAAGAAGGCGCCAGAGACAACTAACTGCATATGCATATGATAACTCACACAGATTTTGCATATGCATATGATATTAGAGTTGCGTGAGAGAGGAGCTACTATAAATCAAAGTACATGATGAAATGGGTCTTTGCCCACGAAAGCTTATGCTTCAATAAATCTGTCAACATAGGAGCATCAATCCCGATTGGCAGACGCCCAGCTCCACCCCTCCCCCATCTAACTCACCTGGCCAGTGCACTTAAGGGAAGCAACAAGACAGAGCATGAGAGTGAGGGAGCGTGAGTGAGTGAGTGTGTAATAGATCATATGATAAATGTTGGTTGCTATATGTATTACCAATAAATATAGTGTTTTGCCCTATCCCCAAAAAAGCTCCCATGCAGTACTTTAAGTACATCATCTTGGTTAGTAATTTCAGCAGCAGGCCAAGAACTGAATAACCCTAAGCAATGAATTACCCTCTCACCCTTACTAGCAGGATCCCAAGAGGGGCTTAAAAACACTGGGTCAGCCTGGAGTGGCTTGTACTTCCTTTTCCTGATGCTAAATAGCAGACTTCAGTTACGAGGACAGTGGGTCTAGCACTTTACAAGATGATAAAATTTGCTTACAAAACTATTTAAAAAAAATCAGCATTTTCCCACTTAACTGCAGGAGGAAAGCCATCCTTATAGTCATACCATGCACATGGTCACAAATAATTCTCTTTCTAGAATATGAAATTATGCCTTTAACTAAATGTATATAAACTAAAATATATTAAAGCAGAAATATGTATTAACACTGTAGAATTGTTTCCAGAATTTAAGTTCCTTTTGAGTCCTTAGTAGTGCTTAGGTCAACAAGCAAAAGTTCTATACTTCAGTTCTTGAACTATGAACAAAAATAATATAAAAGCCACAAAACACATTTCAGGACAACTGAATCAGTGCTTTAAAAATACAGTAGTTTAGGGACTAAATTCATTTTTTTGTGCCATCCAGAAAAAGGATTAGGTGTGAAAGAACTCTCTTGCTTAATGCACCTTTGGCTGTACTTCCACTTGTCATAATTATGAAGTAGCTACTCTCATCAGTGCCAACACATAAGCTTCATTATATTACCCTTGTAACTATAGTAATGCATATTTCAGGAAATGTTTCATACACTGAAAAACTTGAAACAGACTATACTGACAGCACTTTACCTGCTGTTATCTGTAACAATGCGTAACAGATCTCACTCAACAATAAGATTTCACGTATGCAGCAAAATAAGAGTAACTACAAAATTTTAGCAAACATGACATATAACTTTAATGTTTATTAAGGAACTCCCTTGCAGTTTTCAGGTTCAACCAAAGTGTTCAAATAGAGAGAAAACAAAACAATTCACAAATTCTTCCCAAAATAGTGAAAATATTTGGGCTTTTTCAGAGTATTAAGAGTTGCAATCTATCTGACCTCTCTAAACATATAAAATATTTCTAGAAAGTAAAATAATCCAAAAGATATACCACCTACATGTGTTTTACACAACAGTGGTAAATCTCAGAATAAAAATCTTTAACTACTATCATTATCTACCACAGCTCATCTAATATTATAGAAAGAAAAAGCCATTGATACATACTGTATACACATTTTTATCCATGTATATAAATCAAAGGAAACAGCTTCCTTTAAGGCAAGCATATGAAGATACTAAAGCAAGATACCAATTAAATATTCATACATTCAATATTTCAAAATAAGGAATTTGGATATACACATGCATAATTTAAGTTCTATAGTGAAACCTGTCTACAGAGGCCATTTCTACTGTATTTCAACAGCATCCTAACTTGAAACGTACAATACAGCTTTTCCATGCTGTGTTAAAACTTTAAAGTATATAGTAATTCATTTCAAGCACTAAACATAGAATAAAGGCCATGTTATGCACACGGCACTTTTCTATGGGAACTACTGCATTGCCCTGTTCATTAAATCCCCTTTAGTGCAATGCAATAGGGCCTTAGTCACTACGCTTTCCTATAAGGTAGGAAGGAGCGTATGCTTTCGTACAGGGTACCAGGTAGAGTCAGATTAAAAAGGCAATTTACTTATTAGATTCGGAAGTTAAATAGATAAGTTTAGATACAACATTAATAGTTTCTCAGATCACAGGGGCCATAAACAGTAAGTTATACTGACATATTCATATCTCAGATATATGTACAAAACTCCTAGAAGCTGACTTTCATATATGAAGCAAGAATTTAGCCTTTAATTTCAATATTTCATTGAGCGAAAACCCAGATTTAAGAGACCTGCCTAAAGATAGCACCATCAAAAGCTGGTCAGATGTTCTGTACACTAACAATGGTTCTTTGGGAATTACATAAAGTAGTGGCTAACAGTTATTGACCTATGGGAAAACATATGTGAAGTATGAGGAATTTATAAATTCTCTATTGATATAAAAAAAATCTGCCCCCAAGAATTGCAAAATTGTCTTAAATGGGAGGACAGTATGTATGTGTAAATTTTAATCTGACATATACATCTGCACATTGTATGTGCATATACATATCACGTTTTAAAAGGTCACAGTAGAACTGATTCACCCCTTGAGAAGAATTCTTATGATTTTAACAGAAAAGATATTTTGCTATCAAGAGTCTTCATTTAAAAAAAGCATCTTTATATACCAAAAATACTGGAATCATCTTCCACAACTATAAGAACAATAATGAATAGGTGTATAAGAAACAACACTATTTTTATACATTTCTAATTTTTTTTCCTTGCTGAAGGTCAGTCATTTAATATTTATATTTCTAGGAATAAGTGGAGTAAAAACTCATACAGGTAAACTGTAATGTTAAGAAAAATACAGCTATATACAATTTGTTTTTATATGGTAAATTACTTCATATGAAAAACATCCATGGATCTTGCAATGACTACACTTTTCCCTTAGAGCTAATACTTGGTTCTTGAAAATTAAAGTAAAAAAAAAAATCAAAACTAGTCAGTAACAATGCAGCGTCGAAAAGCAATAAACTCAAAATTAAGTTATAAATAATTTAAAGCATGTCATGAAGATGTATTAATAATTCATCAGATAAATAATTTACTAAATAATCAAATAAATAAATAATGAAATACATAAATAAATCAGCAAATAAATAATTCTGCAAAATAACCTAAACAATAAGTCACTAAAACAAATGACAAACCTGCAAAACTACAATAATTTTCTAAATTCTGATAGTTTTAAATAAACAAATGTATATAAACTAGATCAATCTTTGTTGGCTAGGGAAATATTTTTCACTGCTATTGGTAAATTCCTGATTACACTGAATAAGGATACAATTCAGATTTTACAAGACGACAGTTTTTTCCTTATAAATTATTAACACAATTCCTACAATACATCCTGCTCTGTATTTTACATGCAATCCTTTAATGTAGCTCATTTTTTCCCAAATATAAATGGACAGCCTCTTTATAACATTCTTAATTCACATTTTCTTTTCAGTGCAGTACTTACAATACTGCTATAGCTTTCTTAGTGGTTCTCTCCCTATCTTCTCTAAACCTTTAGAAGTTGTGCTGCAGGGGAAAACAAGTAGAATAACCTTAATTATTACAGATGGTATCTCATTCATTAGTGGATGTCAACATTTTATCTGAAAGCACAAGAAAAGCTGCTTTATAATTCTACAAAACATCTTAATGTGAAACAACCACGCCTGTTTGCAGACTACGTAAGTTTTTAGAAGTCTTTGGCGGACTGAGTTCAAGCAAATGGAGGCCTGTTTCTTATATATAACCTAACATACAATCTGTGCAAACTAACATTAATTCAGATGTGAAGACAAAACGTAAGGAGGACAAATTCTGGGCTGACATCTAATGCTGTCCTGGATTTTGGAAGCACATAACTCTTCAAGGAATACAGTAGGCCACTACATTTCCACTAAGTTCATTCACAATATAATTAAAACACCACACTACAAATACAACTATGATACCAAGAAGTTATCAAGAAACTACTGCCCTAATAAAGTAATTGCAGAGTGAATTTAACACACTATATTGACACTCATTGTAGTTTGCTTCAGAAAGTTGAATTTATAGTCTTTTTTAAAGAAACATGCCAGAAATGTAAAGCATGGCTGTTCTTTCCAAACTGTGATTTGCTTGCCCCCGTTTACAACACATCTTATAGGCAAAATCATCCTAAAATATTTTTGGATTCTGTACAGGTCTGTGAAATTGCAGGAAGATGTTACGTACAAATTTCACATTCGTGAATTTTGCTATTCAAATGTGTAGGCAGAATTGTTTTGCTTTACAGATAAGATTAACATTTTAAACTGCATTGGTTTGGTTGTATTTCAGCATTCAAAGTACAGCGGACAATTCATTCCTAGAAGAACTTAAGACATGTCATATTTAACAAGTCTCAAATTCTCTTTAGGGATTATAATAAGGAAACACTTGCTTAATCATAAATTTTATATTTATCTTGGCTAAACACCCTCCTTTGGATAGACTGCCATGTTTTGTCAAGAAAAATCAACATAGTGGAAACAAAGTACTTGTTCTGTTGTGTGGTCATTCAAAAGAGTATGTAGAAGTAATGTAAATGTGCACCAGCGCTGTTGATAATTTCACGCTCTCATACTCTCATTTCAATTTGCTTTAAAAAGGACTATTCCTCCTGGCTAAATATAGACATCCTGAAAAAACACAAGTTCTCTTTGAGATAACATTACAAACCCTAAAACAGCAGTAAAGACTCTTCTATTTTAAGGAATTTGAAATACACCTCTCTCAGGATATAGTCATCTAAGTTGGGGATAAATGAGATGTACCTAAAAAAAGATACTTTCTCCTGATATTGAGATGGCATTATATGAATAAGAAACAAACTTACCTTCTTTAATAACATTCCTCCCCTTCAAACTACACACCATAAATTCTTCAAAGATGAAAGGATTAAAAGGTTCTTGGGATACACAATGGACCAGGCTTAATCCTGAACCTTTGGAATCAGAGTTTGTCTGAACCGTAACTATTAAGCTACAGGACTTCATTTACTATTTGTAAGTTTGTGTTGCAATGTGGTTATTCACTAAAGAATTACAGTAAAGAGCATAGTTATACTTACAACTATGTTTTATAAAAGTATAGATCAAGATAAGTGACTAGGTTTTTGTTAAATCTCCTTTGTTCTAACATTAATGCTTAAATTGGACCATAATGGATTGACCTAGTTAAATTTCTTCTGGTTTTTTCATGTAGAGGCTCCCTTCCTCAGCTCAGATACTTTTGTATATTGTTAATGTTGGGTGCATCTAAGCTAGCAGAGATTGCAACTATTTCAAAGATCAACAAATCTAAGAGCCAGGGGATAACTGAGTCTGTCATCTTCAAAAGGAACTGGGAGATCATTAGGAAAACCTAGGAAGAAACATCCTACATTCCATTCCCATAAACACAGCATATGGTAGAAAGCCTGTAGGGAGAACTGGGAAGGAACACCCCTACTAGTACTTTCAGGATTACCTGGGACAGGCAGTGGGGTAGCCGTGTTAGTCTGAATCTGCAAAAGCGACGAGGAGTCCTGTGGCACCTTATAGACTAACTGAAGTGTAGTAGCATAAGCTTTCGTGGGCAAAGACCCACTTCGTCAGATGCATCTGACGAAGTGGGTCTTTGCCCACGAAAGCTTATGCTACTACACTTCAGTTAGTCTATAAGGTGCCACAGGACTCCTCGTCGCTTTTGCAGATTCAGACTAACACGGCTACCCCTCTGATACTTGACATCAAGGATCTGGGAAACCTTAAAATATAATAGCCAGTTCGGGAGGCAGGTTGAGAAGCACCCTATGTTCACACACCCCCAAAATCTGGGGACAACCTGGGAGAGGAGGATGAAGAGAAACACATGTAGCAGATATGTCAAAACTGATGCAAACTGTTGGTAGTGGCTATGGGGCAAGGGAACAAATGCAGAAAACTTGGTAAGAAAATAAGGATGGCCATTAAGGTCAGTCCAATGGTCCATTTAGTCCAGAAACTTCAGGGTACCAGAACACAACTGGGTACTTTAGAGAGTGATTCACTTCTTGTTATTCAGCTCCAGCTTCTAGCAGTCAGAGGTTTAGAGACACCCAGAAAACATGGAGTTGCATCCCTGTCCAGCTTGGCTTATAGCTATTGATGAACCCTTATTCCATACACTTATTCTTTTTTGAATTCTTTATACTTTTGGCATTCACAAAACAAATTCCACCGGATGACTGCATTATGGATATTTCCTAGTATTTGTTTTAAACATGCTGCCTATTCATTTCTTTGAGAAACCCCAGTACAAATGTTCTACACAGTGGTAAATAACATTACCTTATTCACTTTCTCCACACTGTTTGTGACTTTATAAATCTCTCTCATATCCTGCCTCAGCCATCACTTTTCCAAGCTGAATCCCAATCTTTTCTCATCTTTCTTCATATGGAAACAGTTCTATATCCCTAATCATTGTTGTTGTCCTTCTCTGTAATTTAAATATCTTTTTAGAGATGGCATGGCCAGAGCCGCATATAGTGTTCAAGGTGTGGGTGTTTGATAGATTTATATAGTGGCATTATATTTTATCTTTTAATCCGTCCCTTTCCTGGTTGGTTCCTATTATTCCATTAGCTTTCTTAAATGTCACTGGACATTGAGCAGATGTTTTCAGAAAATTATCCAGAATTACGTTGAGATTTTTTTTTTTAATGGTACCAGCTAATTTAAATCCATCATTAGTTGGGATGTTTTCCAATATACATGAATTTGCATTTATCAATATTTAATCTGATTTACCATTTTCTTGCCCAACCACCCAATTTTCTGACATCCCTTTGATATGTAGGGAGCTCTGTAACTGGAGTACATTTAGTAAAGATGGAATAGTCAGAGATTTTAACAGCAAATCTGTGATGAAATCTACTGATGATGTACAAATTAGAATTTTCAAAGATTTATATCCTTAGCTAAATTGCAATGGATTTTCGTGGAGCTGGGAAAGGCACCCGTCACTCAACACTACACCATCACTTTGGCTAATTTCAAGTTCCTGCTTCAAATTACATAGATGCCAAGGCTCAAAGAAACGGTTGGAAAATGTTTAACATTGGCAAAACCACTTTTTTCCTCTAAAGCCATTCTCTGAAATGGCTGAACCATTTCTACTGAAAAACTTCCTAAACAAATTCAGCATGAGGCAAAAAGCAAACATAATTTCACCTTGAATTATTACAGTTTCGCAAAGTGACTGAAAATAAAAGTTTCTAAGGTACAGTTAAGGTTGCCTAAAACTTTCCATGTCGCCAACATCAATATCTACAGTAGCTTGGGTAAAGAAGCTGTGTTTCCTCTGTTTGCAGGAACTAGCCTGTGTCACAAGAGCGCACTACTTTCTTCTTTCACTTGAGGGAAGTGGACATTGTGCCAGATGAGAAAGAAGGGAAATAAGAAAAGCATATCATTTTAAAATTAGGAACAAGAGGAAGTAGCTTTCTAAAAGAAAATGCAAATAAAAAAATGTGATGTTAGGGAAGAGAGATGTACACATACAGTAGATGCTATAGATCCATTGTGGGATAGCCCCAGAGATTGAAAATAGAGTGCAGTGCATTGTCATTTATCTCCCATCTGAGTTCCCAGGGAAAGGACCTGCTGAGTAAGTCTGTAGTAGTATTTAGAACTCCTGGAAGGTAAGAGGCTGGAGACACCAGCTCCAGAGTCTTATAGATTCCATGCAGAGTAAGTGGAATCGAGCTCTCCCCCCATCCCCATCAGTTTAAGTAAAACATACAAGTGTAAATCCTGAAGTTTTGGTTCTCAATAAAAGGGAGGAACTGGAAGCAGGCGTAACAATTAGCACAAAGCTTAAGCAAATTTATGTAAAGTGAAATTTCTGAAATGTCTGTGGCGGAACACAACCCCAGTGCACTGTGGTGTCCAAAATGTACTTCCCATCCTATAAGGGAAGAATCCAGGTGATAGTTACAGAGAAAGTTGTGTGAAGGGAACTCCACAACCACCTCGTGAGAGAGTCTCTGACTGTGGGAGGGATGGAAAGGACCCTGGTGATGGCATGCAACATTTGGTCTATATACTGTGTTCAGCCAGACCTGGAAGTACCACCTAAAGAGATGTGAAGTTTTGATGACAACACTGCAGGTGGCCATATGTCAGAGTATTTGTAGACAGTCACGGGCCATGACTTGCAGGGCTGCCCTGCAGTTATTTGACTAAGGCCATGGTGGGGTGTTGAATCTGTCACATGGGGAAAAAAAATCAATATCAGTTATTACGACAAGCTGGGCTCCTGTGAACTGTAGTTGCTAGGGTAGGCTTCTGTGTGGATTTGCCTGTGTTTATTTGCAAGCCAAAGGGGTGAAAACAGCAGATGCTTGAGAGCATTCTTCATCATGCATCCTGAAAGAAATGAGCCTTTAGGAGGCAACTGTCTAGATAAAGGAAGATGATGACTCCATTCTTTCTGAGATGCGCCATTACCAGTGCCAGGATCTTGGGAAAAAGCTCTCGGCACTGTAGAGAGGCCAAACGGTAACACTTTATATTGGCAGTGACTGTGACATGCACAAATTGGAGAAAACATATGTGAGCTGGATGTAATGTGGAGGTTACAAGAGAAGGTTGAGATGAAAACCAATGCCTCTACTCCCATGCTGGAATAAAGGTTGAGGGTCA